AAAATTACTAAATTTATGTAAAAATATTTGTTAACTTTCCAAGGGAAGCAACTGATACTGCTCAGCAAAGTATCAGTCGCATAGAAGACATTCAATATTTATTGTGCAAATTAACAAATAGAATGCAGGGTACTATATTCAGTGTTGGGATTCAGATAATTTTCAACATCAGTTCTGCTCGACAATTACAATTGTTTTGTTTTTTTAAACAAAAACTTACTTAAGGAGTTTCAATCCACTTAGCAAAACCAGTTACAATCCCCACCCCAACCTACCCCCCAAAAACTGGTAAACCAAGACACACAAACGGTTTAATTTTCAACATCAATTCTGTATCGACATTTTACCACTGGTAATTACTATGATCTTAATCTTTCTTAAACGTTGTTCGTCACTATGTCAGCAATTTTCTTATTTGTGGGTTTACTACAGTTATTTGTAAACCGATCTTAATATATTTTCGATCAAACTTCAATTTTTAGAGAGAAGTCAGATATATTAAACATACTGCACGTCTTTTGTGCTTCCAGAGCTGTCTTAGGCACCTACTCGTTTTCTGTGTACCTTTAGTTCATCACCGCACCAAAGCGACACAGTCAGAACAAATGCAAGAAGTTATCAATTAGACATAGGCCTCTGAACATAGACTACTAGAAAACAGAAAAACTACTGTCATTTAACAGACGGGCTTAGAAGAGTCAAGAATCGCACACTCTCAGAGACTCAAATCACCACAATGGGTTTGCTGGACAACGTCAGCTTTTCCTAAATGAGACCACTCTAATTACAAAGAAAACGAAACTCCGATGTAGAGTCAGATTTAAAAAACAAAAAGGCTCTTTCGTATCAAACCGGGAGAGGGGGTAGTTGAGAGAAGGCCTAACGGTGCCCACCGAGCCGGGGAAGCGATGCCACCAGGGAAGCTGTGGGCAGAGCGAGCTTGCAAGGGGAGACCAGCCATCGTTGTGGAGTCGGGCCCAGAAACAAGGGCGGGAAGAGCGCCGCACTTACCGCTCTCCACCTTAAATTTCTCGTGCCGTCCCTTCAGGCAGTCGATCTCGGACTGCTGGTCAGCAAGGAACTTCTCAAGTTTGTTCTGGACGGACTTAGGCAGCTTGTTCAGCTCCGTGCGCTCCAGGACCTGCTGCAACACCGCCGCCATGTCGACTGGGCCGGGGACCGCGGCAGCAGCGGTCGACGCGGCAGAAACGGAAAATAAAGGCGAAGAACCAGAGAACCCAGAAGCCTGGGCGGCCGCCTCGACCTCCTCACCCGGTGGCTCGCGCGCGCCCGCCCGCCGGAGACTCCCGCGGCGGGACCCTGGGGAATAGAACTCGGTGTTAGCCGCGGCACTAGACGCGCCACAGCGCCCGCGCTCGCAATGCGCGCGCAGCCGCCGGAAGCTGTGCACCCTGGGAATCCGAGTTCAGAGACAGCCTCTGACCCTGTTCTTGCAGGCCGCTATCCAGCTTTCTCTCACCCTCCTCTCCGCCCAGCTTCAAGCCGCCAGGCTTCTGGGAAACGTAGTTTTTTCCAATCCCTTCCGTGAGTCCAATTCCGCACCACGCATTTCACTTTCTTTTACCCCCGGCCCCCAACTCTCGCCTGCGCGTGGACCACTCCTCCGCGAGGTGGCGCCACATCGTACTCGTCAACCCACGTTCCTCCCCGAAGAGCAAGGCAACCTCACCGTCAAAGCTTCGGGATGCCATGGGTCGTCCTCTTTGGCGGTTTCTAGACACTGAGCCACTAGAGGGCATCGGTCTTGGCAGGGCCAGACAACAGGCACTGGGCTACTGCCACGCTCTCAATGGCGCCCAGAAGGGGGCGGGGTGGCGACCGCAGTAGCTTTGGCTGAGGTGCTGCTTGGGTAAAAGCTGGGGCGGGGGGGGGGGGGGGCGGTCAGCTTACGTCATCAATCAGCGCCACCTGACTCCAGAGACCCCGGGTTTGGAGTGGGAAGTGAGGTGAGGGAAGTCCGTCGCTTTCTGATGAATTCACTGACTGTGGAATCGGGACCGGACAGGCACCTGGTCCCTGGAGGCTTATACTTAGCCGCTAACCCCCTCCTCTGTCAGGCGGTCTGACAGTTCGTCAGATTTGCCTGCCACGTGTGCACAGTCTGAGTACAGGTGAGTCAGCTTGAGGGTGGAATTCGTGTGTGTGTGTGTGTGTGTGTGTGTGTGTGTGTGTGTGTGTGTGTGAAATGTGTGCACTGGACACAGCTGCCTTTTCAAGGAGGAAGAGAAAGGGACAGACTGTAGGGAACATATGGACGGACACTCCTACACAGCACAGATCCCGTTTGGAGACTTGACTTCGTTAGGTGTTTTTGTTTGTTTTGGGTGGCAGGGGTGGGTAACAGTGATTTAACAGAAACGTAAGGAGTTCCGTTTATTTCCAGGAAGAAACCAACAGGAGTTTGAGTGTTGCTTTATTTGTATGTTATAAGGTAACGTGGCGGAAAATGTTGCCCTGTGTTTATATTGTTAAATTGAAAAACTATCGGAACAGAAATTTTTAAACACATTCTTGAAAACCATTTCTCCTGACACCGTAACAGAACAATTTGTTTCCAGATTGTAATTCGATGGCTTCTAAGCTGAATCTGGGAATTGTTTCATGTTTGATTATTCTTGAAAAGAATTTGCTAAATTCTTTATTGAAAATGAAGCTTTCCTTATGTCGTCCTCCCACCTTTGAGAATACCAGTAAGGAGCTTCATTCAGATTTCTTTCCCTTCAGATATTCGGTGTGTGTTAGTCACTCAGTCGTGTCTGACTCTTTGTGACCCAATGAACTGTAGCCCACCAGGCTCCTCTGTCCATGGAATTCTCCAGGCAAGAATACTGGAGTGGGATGCCATTTCTTTCTCCAGGGGATCTTCCCGACCCAGGGATGGAACCCATGTCTCCGGTTTGGCAGGCAGATTCTTTATCACTGAGCCACCTGGGAAGCCCGTATTATGTCCTGCCCACAATATCATCATTATTGATCTACTATTTGGAAAACACCGATGTTCTATACTTAGAGAATTCTAAAATTAGGTTTCCAGACCTGCTATCATCCAAATTCTTTATTTTTAAGACTAGCAAACTAGAGTCCAGGAAAGTTGAGTGGTTTCAATCAGCTTTTGAACAACTTCTAAAGCTTCTGCTGATATGCAGCATTTCAGGAAAAATTGAACTGTGTAAGAGAAGATCTGCATTTTTAGTATTACCCTTTATTACAGTATGATTGGCAACGTTTGAGATATTTGAAGGAGCACTAAAGGAAAAAAAATATCCAGCAGTCAACTAGATTTCATAACCCAAAGATTCTCATCTTCCTATTGCATTCAGTTTCTTACATATTAACATGGCTAGTATATACTAGAAAAAGTAAGATGAGAAAATTACATAACCTTGGAGTGACTACCATTGTTATTTCTTGTAAGAATTAAGAATTATTTAGGGCAGAAAGAAAGGAGTAGAATAGCATTAGAAGTAGAAGAGAGTTTAATACACAGAGTTGCATACCTTAAGGTGCTAAAAGTGAAAAGCCCCTTAACTTTATAAAGGCATTAATGATAGACAGTTCTAGATTTAGCAAATATATGTGCAAATCTGAGAGCTAGGAAGAGATTTAATGCATTTTGAGACAAAACGACAAAAAAAAAAAAAAAGATAATCTAATAGGCCATTTCAAACCAAAACCAATTCTCTGGGCTTTAGTTTTAGAAAAATGCAAAATCATTGTGACTGGCAGTTTATTTTACTGGTGTTAGATAAGACACCCCAGCACATCTAGAATTGCCTGGGCTTTTTTGCCCTGAATAAGATTGGGATTTCTTTGTAGGTAATGACTGTTACCTATGTTGAGAATGTTGCTACTGTGTTTCTTCAGAGTCTCTATGGCTCTTTTTAGGTTTTTGGAATCATGACTTTTTTTTTTCTGTGTACACGTGTGTGTGTGTGAATATTAAATGTCACCATATGTTAAATACTTAGAACAATGCCTTAGATGAGTGAAAGCTCTGCATGTTTTTGTTATCATTACATTGCTTTTGTTTACTTCCATCTTTCTAGTTGAATTCTGAGTCACTCAAGGGCAGAGACCAAGAATTACTGATCTTTGTGCCATCCCACTTTAGTACATAGTAGGTCTGGCACCCCACTCCAGTAATCTTGCCTGGAAAATCCCATGGATGGAGGAGCCTGGTAGGCTGTGGACACGCAGCTAAGAGTCGGACACGACTGAGCGACTTCACTTTCACGCATTGGAGAAGGAAATGGCAACCCACTCCAGTGTTCTTGCCTGGAGAATCCCAGGGAAGGGGAAGCCTGGTGGGCTGCCGTCTATGGGGTCACACAGAGTCGGACATGACTGAAGCGACTTAGCAGCAGCAGCAGTAGCAGGTCTCCATAGTGTGCTTCTTGAATGCATACATTTGATTTTCCTTACCTCTCATTGAGCAACTCAGAAATTATCATCTTTTCTATTTTAGAAACTAACACAGAGAAGCTCAGCAGTAAATTACCAAAGATGATACAACCAAGGAATGGTCGATTTAAATAAGAAATCTGGTGTGTGGCTTACTAGCTTAGTGTTCTCTTTATCTGAGATATGTGAGTGATAGTTGCTCAGTCATGTCCAACTCTTTGCAACCCCATGGACTATAGCCCACAAGGCTCTTCTGTCCATGGAATTCTTCAGGCAACAATACTGGAGTGGGTTGCCATTTCCTTCTCCATATCTTCTGAGATAGGAGAGTAGGCTTATTGCTCATGTCAACTGTAGTTGATTGGAAGTCATTTCCTGCAACTCTGTTGAGAATTAGAACTTTGCAAGAAAGAGTACCCTATTGAGTAAGCAGTCACTGTAAGGTTTGGGATATTGTCAGGTTAGTACAGTTTCTCTATATAACCCCAATGAGAAAAGCCATTGCAAATTCTGGTTTTTGCCTAAACATGCTGTATATTTTTTTCTTGTAATTTAGGAAGTTGAATTAGTTCTTAATAATGGGAAGAACCTACATTGTAGAAGAGGCTGTTGGCCAGTATCTTTCAAACATCAATCTCCAGGGAAAAGCTTTTGTCTCTGGCCTTTTAATTGGACAGGTATGTAACTTGTGCATTTATTGATGAAACTAATTTGTTTACTTTAAAGTTAAAATATTCTGTTTAATAGTAAACCCAATTTAGATGATGGAGGGATGTAATGAAGAAGAATGTAACCCAGGTTTGCTCAAGTCAGAACACATTCCCTTTTGATAATGTCAAAGTAACTTATAAGGTAAAAACTCCAAAATTAGGATTTTACTGATCAGGTTATTCATATTTCGTTGTCTTTTCAAAGTGATTTTTACTCCCCTCTAATCTTTAATTCCAGGTTGTCCAATTCTTTACAAAGTAGCTTTTGGCAGTTTTATTTTGAGTTTGTCTTATCTCAGACCTGAGGTACAGGTCATATATTTTATTACGTACCATGGTACCCATTAACTGAATTTTTTTTTTTTAAATATTGATTCAATGGAGAGGGAGAGATGGGATGGGAGAAATTTGGAAATTAGACAAATTTTATTTTCCTCTTAGAGTTAAATCTTAAAAAGCAACACAAAGTGGAACAACTGTTTGAAGAATTACTTTAAAAAGCATAAGCACCCACTGATTTTTTATAATTGATGGGAGGAAGTGTTAATCAGCAGGGAGGACTGTCAGCAGTGCGAGCAGTGAACAGGGGAGAGCCGCGCAGGCGCTTCCATCTTCACTCTATTTGGGCAGAGTGTACTGTGCGCCAAGGAGTGATTTTGAGGCCTAAGAACAAATAAAACTCTGTAGGGACGGGTTTCCTCCTGGATATTTTAGCATGATGCTTGAGAACATTCAGGTTGCATAATTAGCGTTCCTTGCTCTGATTCTGTGCACATTCCCAGCTACTTTCTCTTCTAGTTGGATGTCCTGTGTTGTCTGCTCGGAGAAGGCGATGGCACCCCACTCCAGTGCTCTTGCCTGGAAAATCCCGTGGATGGAGGGGCCTGGTGGGCTGCAGTCCATGGGGTCGCTAGGAGTCGGACACGACTGAGCCACTTCACTTTCACTTTTCCCTTTCATGCATTGGAGAAGGAAATGGCAACCCACTCCAGTGTTCTTGCCTGGACAATCCCAGGGACGGGGAGCCTGGTGGGCTGCCGTCTATGGGGTCGCACAGAGTCGGACACGACTGAAGCGACTTAGCAGCAGTAGCAGCAGCAGCATGTTGTCTACTTAGAATGAATGCACTCTGCAGAGGATTTATGTGGTCACATCCCTTCACAGTATTCTCGTTTTTCAACATCATTCTGATTGAGCTTAGTTAGTGTCAGTATAGCCCCGAGAGACAGGTCTCATTTGAAGAATTTTCACAAATCTGATTTCTCATAAGACAGGGCAGACCCAGCACTGTTCACCCAGGTATTACCGACTCATGAGGCTTCTCACCAGACAGCCAGATGACCTCTCTGGCTGAAATTCTTTTAGATTCAGGTTAATTAACATCTATTATGGGATTCTTTTTGTTAGAAACCTTTTATTTAAGGATCTTTACTTCCCTTTATTTTAAAAATTGAAGGAAAGAAAAGTCTTAGAGAAAGATATAATCAGTAAAGGTAAAAGGTCAGGGAGAAATATCTTCTTCCAGACTTGCTTTATTGCAAGTAGGCCATTTCTTAGCAAAACCGCCATCTCACATGTAAGTCGCCCACAGTTTAGGGAGAATTCCACTCTCTCTTCATGCAGCTTTTTCATTCCTGCCAGTATTCTACTTGCTTCTTCTTTCTCTTTTTTCCAGGTTCATCACTATTCTCTCTTTCCCCTCAAGCTTTCAGGCTTGCCTGTTTCCTATTCTCAGTTTCTTTTTCAAAATCATAGATTTTATGAAAGCAAGAGTTTTCTTAATCAGTGCCTAACTGTTCCCAGTGTTCATTTCAATGTAACATTCTGAAAATAACTTTTATTGAAATAACATACCTTCAATTTTTTTTCTGTTCCAGGTTAATACTAACGATTAGGATTTCAGGTCACGTGTGAGGATAACATCATGCTACCTTGTACTTTCACTCTTTCTTTGTAGGAGATTTTCACTATAATGAGACTGAGCTAGTAAATTTCCCCCAGTTTTATCTTTAGACTTCCCATTTTTGGTTAGCATTTAATTGCTGTTAAAACTGAGAAATATCAATCTAATAACACTTTGGTTATCTGTCCTACACCCCGTTTGTTTTTCTGTGGACCACATGAGCAAGTTCCCCACTACCATTGTTTCAATGAAAGTAAGGCTCACAAGGTCATTTCTGACTTTATTTTCCAGGGATTTTATATTTGTTGAACTACCTAGTCTGTTGAGATTACTTAGAAAATAAATATAATAGCTAGAAAATAGACCAAGCATGTCATCTTTTAGTTTATATGCAGTTTATGGGACTTTCTTGGTGGTCCTGCCAATGTAAGGGCCAGGGACTTGATCCCTGGTCCAGGAAGACCCCATGTGTTGCAGAGCAGCTAAGCCTGTGTGCCATAACTGCTGAGCCTGCGCGCCAGAGCTCGTGCTACACAGTGAGAGAAGCCACTGTATTGAGAAGCCTGTGCACCGCAACTAGAGAAAGCCCCTGCGCAGCAGGGAAGACCCCGTGCAGCCAAAAATAAATAAATGCGTTTTTAAAATGCAGTTCTTTCAGTCATCTAGGAAGCCATTTTAAAGGACCACTACATGATTCATATTCATGATGCCAAATAAATAAGGAGATGGTATTAAATATACTGAAAGATAACACGTGAGGGAAATATTGTAGGGCTGTCCATCAAAATTGGTTTCCCTGTAGATTCATTCCATTATAATACAGGTATTGATAATTTAAGCTGCTATGAACATTGCTCAATTTTTGCATATCGTGAAGACTTTGCATTCCTCGGTGACATTTCCCTCTAGTAAGCGTTTCTAATTTGTTTTTAAGTGTTCCTCACAAAAGGATTATGTGATTCTTGCCACGAGAACACCACCCAAAGAAGAACAGAATGAGAGCCCCAAACATTCCAAAGCCAAATTGGATAACTTGGATGAAGAATGGGCCACAGAACATGCCCACCAGGTCATCATGTTTGTCTCTTTATATAGTTAAGTTTGTGTTTACTAACAAAATAAAAGTACTTTATTCTCAGGTTACTAGACTTAAGATTTCAGAGTACTCATTCTTAAGTTTTCAAAACTTGAGTAGTATACCAAAAATTAGGAGTATTTTCTGCTGTGTTTTGTTCACAATGATATTTTTTTGTTGTTCATTACTTGTATCTAGTTTTAAAAAAAGCATTTTCTTACTTGGAGTTAAGTAATTCACGCAAGATTAGGATAACAGGTAGTGAAACTGGGATTTGAACCCAGGCAGCATGACTTGAGAACCTTTGATCTTATTATACTATGCTTTTCCATTGTTGACTTTTATCTGTTGTGTTTTTTAATTTAGCTTATCTCCAATTTTTCTATACTTTAAAATAGTACTAGTTATTGATAATATTGTTGCTGGTCAGATTGTTTTAAAGACTTAAGCTAGGTACTAAGAAAGTAAAATGATGGTTAACATTTTTTTTTAATGTCCTTAGAATTTATATTTTAACCCACGTGAAAAACATTATTACCAAATGAGATTAAATAGAACAGTACTATAGGAGTATAGAGTGGGGGATGATCAAATATCTATAAATGATTGGATTCAAACAGCTTCACAGAAGACTCTGAACTTTAAAGATGAATAGGACTTTGCTAGTAGAAGTCACGGAGGACATTGAATGCACAAAGGTGTGGATAAGTGACCCAAAGGCATGAAATTTAAAGGTGTGTTAGAATAGCAGGCAACTGGGTATAATTGAAGCATGGCGTATATTAAAGAATGTGTTTAGACTTAAGACTGTATGGGTCCAGTTTATGGATGGTTTGAAGTGTCAGTCATCCTCGGAAGGGAGGAGTTCATTTGGGAGCCAGTAGCTCTGTGGTAGACTTTCAGAGCTCCCTATTTGGAGGATTGATTTGCCAATAATTGAGAAAGTAATTTCAGTGCCTTGGTACAGTGTAAGTGGAGAGTAGGGAGATTGGAAAGAGAGCAGAAAACACGATTATGGTAATAGTTCAAGAAAAGGTGACATTATCTGGTGACTAGACCCTTCAGCTTCATGAGGACGAAGGTCATGACTCTTTTGTTTATGGCCGTATCCTTAGAGCCAAGCATAGTATTCCCATGGTTTATGATGAGAACACCAAAATAAAGGGTAAGTGAATGGATGAATAAACAAACTAACGCAGAGGGCTAAACTTCGTTGCCAAAACATTTCAGAGAAAGAACTAGCATTAAGATGATTTAGTGGCCAACTAGACTGGCAGTAAAGAGATTATGAGAGTAGAAGAAGGTTACTGGGACTTCCAGGGTGTCCCCAAAAGCGGTGTTGCCGTTACACAAAGAAGAAACAGGTTTGGGGTGGGTGACAGGAAATGATGAGTAAATTCACTTAAAAGTGAGTTGGATTATATCATCCAGTGAACAGTATTAAAGTAAGGTAAAAATAGAATTAGTTCCTTCTCCATTTAGCTTTAAATCTTCAAACACACATACTTACTTGTCTGCATTTATTTTGGGAGGTAGTATATAGGGTTTTTTAAAAAATCCATTAAATATTTAATATGATCTTCTAATGAAATATTAAATATTTAATGGATAAGAAGATCTATATGCATCTATACAAACATAAAATTTATAGGGCAAAGTGTATAGCCTTTTTGCCTCTAGAAAGAAATGGTTAATTTTATTTATTTATGATTTTGAAAAAATATGCAGGTTCCCCATGCTAAATATGAAAATTTCATTCCTTTTGTAGGTCAGGCTTGTGCCTCTATAGTATTTAGAGTTTATGAAATCAGAGGGAGCTATCAGCAAACATGTGCTGTGTGCTTGGTTGTCAGTCATGTCTGACTCTTTGCGACCCCGTGGACTGTAGCCCACCAGGTTCCTCTGTCCATGGAATTCTCCAGGCAAGAATGCTGGAGTGCATTGCCATGCCCTCCTCCAGGGGATCTTCCCCACCCAGGGATCAAACCCAGCTCTCCCACATCAGCAGACATAATACAAATATATTAGGAGTTAGATTATGGTATCTAATTTTCTGAAGACTTTGAGCATACATTAAGTACATGAAAGATAACCAAAGCACTCTGACCTCTGAGTTTAGCTGGTTGAAAGCAATACCTGTGGCATGAGGAACTAGCCACACAATCATATGGAAGGAAGATCAGGTATTATAAAGGACAAACTGGTAGTACGTGTCAAAATCCTGAAAAAGAAGTATAACTTTTTAGCCTTATTATCCACTTCAAGAGATTTATTATAAGCAGATAATCCTGTAGACACAGAAACTGGCTGGTTTTTTAACCATTTATTATTTAAGAGTACAGAAAGGCTGTAAATAATATAAATACCCAATGTCAATAAGATTTTTAAAATTGAGGTAAATCTAAACAATAGGAAACAATGAATTTTCAAACTGTACTCCCTTTCTTCAAATCCCAGACTCTGCTGAATATTATAGGAATACAGAGGTAGTTGAGAGTTAAGTTCTTCTATTAAGGAGCTCCCAGATCAAGAAGTAAGGTACACACATAACCGTAGTACAGGTTCATGTGATAAGCTCTATGGGAAAATTGCAGTGAAATCCTGTATGAGTTTGAAGATCAAAGGATCGAGGAAGACAGCTTCCTCAAGCTGACTTTGAGGTGTTCAGTAGAGTTCCGACACGTAGATGTACAAGAGAAAGTCCTTCTAGGCTGAATGAAAGATATAGAGTTAGAAAACCTAGTCATATGTGTGGAGAACAGTGAGAAGTTTGTGATTGACACTTTAATATTTCATGGGAAGGAGTATCAGATGAGGCTCTGCATATCAGATCTATCAGATTTTAGAGAGTCTAGAATACCAGCCTAAGATAAAATTTGTTTATTTAGCTGATAGTGGAAGTCACTGAAAAATTTAGTAGAGATTTCAGTCTTTGATCTTATGAAAAAGAAGTTCATTTATTGCTGTAACTAAAAGGTGTCATTATTAAATGGTTTTATTTATAAGGTAGTTTTAAGGTAGAAAGTTAAGAATACCCTCGGAAGATTGACACCCCATTCATCTTGGTTATCATCCATTTCTCAATATTTTAACCATTTTTTCAAAGCTCTTACCTCAGTGCTGTGCGTATAGTTGGTACTAGGTAGGCATTTACTGATCTAATATTTAGCTTCTCAAACACAGGTTGCATATGATGTCAAATGCTTTTGTCAGCTGATGCTGTATTTCTATTTTTAGGTATCCAGGATGCTACCAGGGGGACTTTTAGTTCTTGGAGTATTTATTATTACAGCTTTAGAAATGGGAAATGAATTTCAAAATACCCTGCGTAGAGTAAGTCTGAAATATCAAAAATTCTTAAAGTTACATCTTAATTGCTTGTATGTGTTTACAGTGAGCCTAGGCACATTTAGATTAATTCTCTATGATGGGATTATGTTAAAACAGCCTTTTCCACCCAATTGCTTAGTACTTGAGTGTAATATATGTCAATATATATTTTCAGTCAAAGCTATGTATTTTAAAAATATTCCTTATTTTAAAGATAATTTTTTACTATTTTGAAACAATTTATAGAGGGTTAACAATTTTTATTGTGCAATAGCAATATTCTGCTAGAACTCCCATTTAGCTCCAAGTGATTGCCTTAATGTGAAATTAATCTTTTGTAATTCTTCATCTCTTCAATTCTCTCAGGATCCTGAGAATAAGACATAAAGTAGCAGCAATCAGATACTTTTTCTTTATTTTTGAACAGAGTATCTATCACGAATCACTTACTTTTTGTTTAATTCCTGTGTCAGTCAATTGGGTAACGTAGTTTACCAGTAAATATAAGGGTCTACAAACTGTTTCCCCTTAAGCCCAAACCTAAAGCAAGCTCTGGGCAGCCAGCTTGCATCTTTTTTAGTACTCAAGATCCAGATAAGGGGACTTCCCTGAGGTCCAGTGGTTAAGAGTCTATCTTCCAATGCAGAGGATGCAAGTTCAATACCTGGTTGGGGAACTAAGATCCCACAGGCTGCAGGGCAACTAAGACCCAAAGCAACCAAATAAATATTTTTTAAAAATCCAGATAAGCCTTCACAAATTTATTTTCCACCTCAAGAAAGAAGGGGCCCTCATTATCTTGAGAAGTGCAAAACCCACCAGAATCCCCAAAACCCTTTCTCTAGTAAAAAGCGTACAGCCCAGAATCCAGATGCTTCACATTCTTCCAGTTTTGTAACTTTCTCTCACATCAGATATCCCACCTTCAAACCTTTGATATTTGTACCTATGGCAGTAAAGGAAGAAGGGGATGATAATCCCTCCCCTTGGCAAGTTATTCAACCTTGTACCATTTTTGCCATTTTAAATAAGTGTACCTCTTTCACAGTTGTTCATCCTGTTTGGCATTTTGAAATGTAACCTATGTCCACATGTATTTAACAGTATCCACTGTGCATCATTTTGTGGTTTGCGTTGGATTGAATGGCTCAGTGCTAGAGAGAAACAGATCCTCCTTCCTCTTGCTTTCTGCATCTCTTGTTTCTAAGAAGCATATAAGATTTTAGAAATGCTCTGTTTCAGAAACTGTAGTCTTTTAGTTTCTTTCTTTCCATTGGCCTGCATTGAGGATATGATATGAAGTAAGCTTGTAAAACTTGTCACAGTCTCCCATAAGGTCATTGCAGAGAGCTTTGTTCATTGTATTACATAATACTGGCTTTGAAGAAATTTCTTTTGATAGCATTATCAAAAAAGGAAGTTGTGCCTATTCTTATCAACTGTTTAGCTTATGGACCATGTGAATTAGGGAACAGATTAGGTTTCTTTGTGCACAGTATTTTTAGAAAGCTTAGAGCTAAATTTATGAACCCTCTCCCCATATCAGGTATGCATTTTTATCTTTCTTACCTGTGGCATAGATTTATGTCATTATTTCTGATTTTCTCACTTATAATTTGTGTTATTACTGTATTTTATGTACCCTTGTATATTGTCTTACATCTTCTGTGACATTTAAATAAGAAATGCCAAATGGGTGACATGCTTCATTTTTTTTAGGCTAAAAATCATTTGTCATTTCTCATTCTAATTAAATAAAATCTTTATACTTCATTTAAATGTTGCGTGGGTACTAAGTCATGTGTACTAAGTCACTTCAATCATGTCTGACTCTTTGTGACCCTATGGACTGTAACCCACCAGGCTCCTCTGTCCAGGGGATTCTCCAGGCAAGAATACTGGAGTGGGTTGCCATGCCCTTCCCCAGGGATCGAACCCATGTCTCTTACATCTCCTGCTTGGCAGGCAGGTTCTTTACCATCACCACCACCTGGGAAGCTCAGTTACCCCAAATTGGGTTCAGTTGATCATTAATGACAGTGAATTATGTTTTTTTATTTAATACCCAATTTTTATTTATCTCTAAAAATTGAATTCAAATCATTGATAATCAGTTGCACTCTTTCTTTTGAAAGAAAGAAAATTTAATGATAGGATCATGGAATTTTAAAGCTAGATGGGACCTTAGGATTATTATAATTGTCTTTTTCTGCACTTTCCTTTTTTCTTTTATTTTGCATTCCATTGTGTTTTCCTCTTTTTCAGCTAGTATTTGCTGTGGAAAAATCTGTGAATAAAAAGAGACTGTGGAATTTCACAGAAGAGGAGGTCTCAGAACGAGTGATACTTCACTTTTGCTCTTCTACAAAAAAGTATCTTTTATTTAGGTGTTCATGTTTTAAAGTATATGATACCAATATAATGTTCCTGCAACTTTTTTACCCATATGTTTATTTAAATCATAAGTTTTCTGTAAATAACACTTAAATAGGACTGCCAATAAGAATAGTGTTAATGGTTGTTAATCATGTCTCATGTTGTAAGGAGTTTGAGAGAGGAGGCAGGGACTAGGCCTTCTGAATTCTTCACCAGCTGTCTAACCCTTACATTAAAGTACACCAGGCCCCCTACAGAAAGGGATAGCTTAGGCAAAGTAGTGCTTTTATATTGTTTACCTCCAGTCCCTACAGATAAAATGTTGAGCTCAAAGCACACTTACACTGAGCTGGAAACTTTTGTTCCTTTGGCCAAGGTCAGGTGACTCTAGAAGCCAGCCATAGGGCCTTCTTAGCTTCTGTCCTCTACACGTTAGCAGGGCAGGCACCTCCCAAGCATGAGGCCACCTTGCCGAGGGAGTGAAGCGATGTAAGGGTCTGGCAAATTAGGACCTACCAAAGAGAAAATTCAAATAAATGGTCATTCCTGCAGAAGCTGAGCTCTTAACTCTGTTGATATTTAACTAGAATGTTTCCTGTACAGACCCTTTGACCCAGTAAACGTTCCCAGGCTTGACTCCGTTCAAAACAGCACTCCAATTTGTTAAAAAGGGTGTGTATATGAGGACAATTTTGTAAGAGTTATCATTCTATTCACTGGGATGAGCAGGATTTATAGACAGTAGGAAACAAAGTATCAGAAGTATTATAGTCAAAGGAATTTATATATATAAAAGTATATATATTTGCACAAACACATGTATGTATATACATGTGTGTGTGTATACCTATCTTTAAGTGTCATACCATGAGGTGGTATGATTTTGTAAAAATTTGGATGCATATACTTTGTTTTTATTTTTGGATGGGTTTTTTTGGATTGTTAAGAATTTCTTTTTTATTTTTACTTTTTTGGTTATTTCTGTCCTTAATTAGTAAAGAATATTTTGTCGAACTTATGATATTCATGATCCAAAGGTAAGAAAAATTTCTCTTTACAAAGACTTTTCTGTGTTGCAGACTATTTTTCAATGAAAATCAAATTTTCATTTTAATAATTCTCAATGCTGTCTCTTCTTATTGATGTCCACAACCACCCATAGTTTTTTATTTTGAAATATGCCTAATTTCTTTGCAGACAAGGAAAATTTATGTTTTGTTTTATTGTTAGAATATTTTTGTTAAGCTCTCCTTATCTTGTTTATGGGCCCAGTATTATATTTGAGAGGCTTGTAGTAAGAGTGTCTAGGCTTGTGGGAGCCGCAGTGCCTAGTAAACAAACTGTCTGTACTCAGAGGAATCCACAAACTAATCCTTTGCTAAGGTGTTAAAAAACAGAGTGAAAAAGTAGCTGCAGTATTTTGTTAGAAGGAATAGGACAGAAGGGAAAACGTCTGGCACCTCATAGTTGCCAGTGATCACTGAGTGAATCACCTCAGTGATTATTGATGCCACATCAGAAGCTTCAGAATTGACTGGTGAAGCTGCAGATGAGAACTGCAGGACCAGAGGACTTGCCAGAATTTTAAACCAGCCTTTCACTGGGGAAGGGAGTTGCCAGGATTGCTTGGGATGTGTTGAAGAATACCGAACTTTTAATGCATGCTTTACTTTTATTTCATTCTAACCTATTGCTCTCTGATGAAGGAATTTGGCCAAATATGTTGGATAACAGCTTGTATGAATTACTAGGCTGTACATTTTATGATGTTTTATTGCTCTGTGTGTTTTACCTTAATCATGTATTTTATGTTTTCTTCCCCTTTGCTAAAGAGTTCTGCAAAACCGGCAGATTGGAAGTATCAAAATGGACTATCAGCTTCATGGCTTTCCTTAGAGTGTACGGTTTATGTTAATATTCACGTCCCGCTGTCTACTACTTCTGTCAGCTATACTCTGGAGAAAAATACAAAGGTATCAGAATAAAATGAATTTTCTCTAGTGATTGCTGAATAGATGATCTACCTTTATTCTGATTGTCTATGCTGTACATCTTATAATTTTGAAATTGCATTCTAATTATAATATTGTTACAGGTAACTTATTCGTTAGTCCAGCCAGATTAGAAATTTAGACATGGGACAATGTCATCATACTATCGTATTTAGCATAATAATAAGTGCTTCATGAATATTTGTTAATTAACATGTAATATGTACATTGTCTTGGAGAAGGAAATGTCAACCCACTCCAGTATTCTTGCCTAGGAAATTCCATGGACAAAGTCTGAACCTGGTGGGCAATAGTCCATGGGGTCGCAAAGTTGGACATGACTTAGCAACTGAGTACATGTACATTGTAAAATACAACTATGTAAGAAGATACACTGTTTGATCTTGTTTTCATCTTTAGTTTTTTTTTTTAATTTTTTTATTGAAATATAGTTGATTTATAGTGTGTTGATTTCTACTGTGGCGTCACTGATGCAATGGACATGAATTTGGGCATACTTTGAGAGGTGGTATGGGACAGGGAGGCCTGGCGTGCTGCAGTCCATGGGGTTGCAAAGAGTCAGACACGACTATGTGACTGAACAACAATTTCTACTGTACATCAGAGTGATTCAGTTATACATGTATATATATTCTTTTTCACATTCTTTTCCATTATGATCTGTCATAGGATATTGCATATAGATTGAAAGTTAAGGACTAGCAGATGCAAATTTTTATAAATAGAATGGACAAAAACAAGGGCCTACTGTATAGCACAGGGAACTATCTTCCTCTTTAGTTTTGTTTTCCATATTCCAATTATGTTTTGTGATTCTGTACCATTCTTTTGTTCATAGCTTTTTTGTCTTCTTTTTTCCTGTTGAAGGAGGTAAATGGAGCTTGCTTATTGTTTCGTCTTTAATACTGTTTTATATATTTGTTTGAGGCTCTTTCTCTTCTCCTACTTTTTTTAACAGAAATTACTGAATTTTATTTGACTGTGGCTATTAAGCCACCTAAGTTTGTGATATGTATGTTAGTTCAGGAAAAAGATTAGAAAAACTATTATTTAATATGGGTAAGGTACCAAAAATTGGGGATATACTTTTTTGTTGTTCATGGTACTGAATTTAAATGCCACATTATTGAAACTTAGGGATATTTATCATTAATATTTTAGAGTACTAGATGGGAAAAAGTAGACTCGAGGGAGTTTAACTGAGATGGCATTATAACTGAAAGATGTCCATGTTGTGTTTCTTTTAAGAATGGACTTGCACGTTGGGCCAAGCAGATAGAAAATGGTATTTATTTGATTAATGGGCAAGTTAAAGATGAAGATTGTGACCTTTTAGAAGGACAGGTGAGTCAAGAGAAAATCATCTTATGAAATTATTTGTGCTTAAGGAAAAATAAAAGATGACTTATCTTTGGTTATTTAGGCCTTACCTTCATGAAAACAATTTTTATCTACTTCTTATTTCTAAGGTCTTTGAAACCAAAGGGCAAATGATTATCTGAGAAAAATGATAGGAGATTATTTCTGAAATCATAGGAATTTTGAAACCTGCAGGAGTGGTTGTCATCTAAATTTTATCTGATTTCTACTTTGCAATCTGCTTACTTAGAACTAAAGTCATATGTTCTGCCCTGATAATGGTTTATATACTAAGTTTGGTCATTTTATAGGGGGTCTGTATGGGGGTTCTAAAATATCTTTGGTCTGAAGAGGAACTTTGGTGATTTTTCCCTTTGGAGCAGGGCTCAGTGAGCTTAATGTAAAAAACCAAGTAGTAAATATTTTAGACTTTGTAGGCCATGTGTTCTCTCTTATAGCTAGCTATGCGGCCCTTCTGTTGTAGCATGAAAGTGGCCACAGACAGTATGTACATGAACAGTCTTAGTTGTGTTCCAGCAAAACTTTATTTACAAAGACTAGAGGTAGTTTGGATTTGATCCGTAGGCATAGTTTGTGAATCCTTGCTTTAGAGGAATAAAAGTAGGAGATGAATGGTTTTTAAGAGTATGCATTATATTTGTAGAATATAGAATACACACAATGATGTACCTATAGAAAAGACTAACATAAACAGATGGTAAGACTGTTTTCCCCTCTCAGTGTTTGTTGGATAGCTGCTAAATTATCTTTTATGTTCCACTCCAATCTCAACAGTCTAATTTTTTAATTTCTGTGTCATTTCAGAAAAAATCTTCTAGAGGAAATACTCAAGCAGCTAATCATTCATTTGATATTAGAGTGCTAACACAGTTGGTAAATACTTTAAAATACTCCTTATCTAAAATTAAAATGCAGTATTTCTTAGCATAAGCTTAATGAAATTGTTTTTTTTTTTCATGTATATTTATTTTTTGGCTGTGCTGGGTCTTTGTCCTTGCTGCGTGGGCTTTTCTCTAGCTGCAGTGAGCGGGGGCTATTCTCTAGTTGCGTGCCCAAAATTCTCGTTGCAGTAGCTTTCCTTGAGTGGAGCACAGGCTCTAGGGCGCACGGGCCTCAGTAGTTGCGGCCCGTGGGCTCTAGAGCACAGACTCAGTAGCTGTGGTCCATGGGCCTAGTTGCCCCGCGGCACATGGCATCTTCCCGGATCAGGGGTCCAACCTGTGTCTCATGCACTGGCAGGTAGGTTCTTTACCACTGAGCCACCAGGGAAGCCCCGTTTCTCCTTTTATGCTTGTGATTAGAGTCAAAAAATTTTTGAGATGTAAAAGAGACTGTAAAAAATGTTCCGTTCAAAGAAAGTTATTTCCAAGAATTTATTCCCAAGTTATTTATTGTAATCTATATGAGTCTATTGTCTGAAGACTATTAAAATTTTGACATCATGTAGCTAGCAGTTAGGAAAAAAATGTATATATGGGTATGTATATATATCTATATATGTGTGTGTAATATTTTGTATGGTAAGTTTTGTGAGCAAAGTTGTAATTTTCTTAACTTAAAAGATGTGTGCAGTGATGTGCGAAGAGTTGTTACATACCTAATTTGAAGCAAATCTATATCTCTGATTTGGTAAAAATCACACAATATTAGCAAGGTTTCTATTTTTATATTGTTGCTTTACTTTACAGATGTCTTCTCAGAAATTTAAATTTGGATAATTATTCTTAAAAGTATGTATATGTTTGATTTTAGTCCTGCTTGAAATTATCCTCAAAGCTAGATAGCATGTACAGTACATCCATGATTTTAGAAAACTTTTCATATCAATAATATACTGAAAATGTTGAAACAGGGAAATGCTACCAGGACTTGCATTTTTTTTTAACTTAATAAAATAGACTTAAAAGCCATTTGTCACAGGAGGGTGCTTTCATTGCTGCTTTTCTTTCTTTCTGTTTAGCAATAGAGCATTACTAAATTGTCAAGACTTATGCCACTAAACATTTCTCAATTTCTCTTCTCAGGACCTTAGAAGTATTTTTAGTCTTTAGTTTTCCTCCTCCTTTTTTGTTTTAGAAGTGTTCTTTTAAGTTTATTCCGCTACCTGTATGCTTTTTACTAGTTATACTTTCATGACCTCTTTGTTTATTAAACAATTCAGTTAAAATTATTTCAGTTATAAAATTGCAGTTAAAAATGTCTGGAGAGTGGGAATATAGAGAGAAGAGTAGAAGATAATATCATGAGATAATTTATTATATATTAATATAATAAGTAGTCAATAAGTATTTGAGGCCACTTTTCTCCCAGGCGCCCTCTGTCAAGTTTTGTTGATTCTTTCTTTGCAGCGTAGCTCATCTTTTATCTTATGGTTCCATTGCCATTAGCCTTACAACCTAATTGTTTTACCTAATTCATAACAAGGAACTTAGTCTCTCTCTTTCTATTTATTCTTATCCAAAGTGATTCATTCTTTGAATCCTGATACCTTTGTTTGTATATTTTCTGGGATATCTTTCATATTTCTGATCTGTTCTGTGTATTACCTCAGATTATCCTTTCGGAATCACAATTTGCATTCATTCACTGTCCATTTACTTATTAGTTTTTTTTTTCCGTTAAATATTAAGTGTGTATAAGGGGCAGACACTGACTGTGTTACTCCCCTTGTGTAAAATTCCTTAATTGCTCTATATGTGCTAGTTCGAATTCTAATTCAAGGCTTTTTGTGGCCTCAGCATGCCTTTTCATTATTTTCTAACTTAACTATTTTAGGTGTGTGCTTTCCATACCTTTAAAGTTCTGTGCATTTCTCAAGTCATTTGTCTTATCAGTGCCATTTTTTCCTTTATTATCCAGGCTGTCAAAGTCCTACCTGTACATTAAGATGTAGCCAAAATGTTACCATTTTCATAAGGTTTCATTTGGTTACCATAACCAGAGGGATCTTTTCTTTTCCAAAATATAATATCAGCATCACAGAAGTTCCTCCACTTATGAATAGGTTAGATTTTCAAAGTCTGCTAGCTGGTTTGTTCTGAAGTCCAAAGAAACAAAGATGGGTTAACATTTATAGAACCCAAATACATTTCTATCAAAAAGGAGTAAATCAAGTCCTTTTATCTTTTAAAAAGTCTTCTTGATATATATATGTGTAGTCTTTTATATATACAGTCTAGTGCATTTTGGAAAATAATGTTCTAATTTATACATATATAATTATATGTTACAACTATGTCAATATAATATGTACTGTGAATTAGATATTAAATATGTAAAATGGGGTGTTATTCTTCTACAGTAGAGTTATGTTTAGTGGATAAGGGGAGCTCATTACTCTTCCTCCACTCCATTTATTGATATATCAGTGATCTCTACAAGTATCATAGGAGACTTATTCCAAAGAGTATCAGCATTGTCACCCTGTTGCTTCATTTGATAGTTTTGAGCGACCTGGAACCTTCTGAACTGTTTGGCCTGTGACAGATTTTTGACCAAGACCTTGACTGTTTTTAGGCTTAAATTCTTAAAAAAAAAAAATTAGCCTTTGCCTGAATGACATTAGAGTCACCGGCACATGGTCAGTTAGCACTGGTTGAGTTGCATGAGTTGTCTTTTTTCTTCAGAATTGACTCTGTTGTGTTTTTTTAATTATTTATTTACTTGTTTTTGGCCGCGCTTGGTCAGTTAGCACTGGTTAAGTTGCATGAGTTGTCTTTTTTCTTCAGAATTGACTCTGTTGTGTTTTTTTTAATTATTTATTTACTTGTTTTTGGCCACGCTTGGATCTTCATTGCTGTGCGTGGTCTTTCTCTGGTGGGGCAAGTGGGGGCTGCCCCTGCAGTGCATGGGCTCATCACTGCGGTGCTTCTCCTGTTGAAGAAGAGACTCTAGGTGCAACTTCTTCAGTAGTTATACCGTCTGGACTCAGTAGTTACGGCAAATAGGCACTAGAGCTTGGGCTCAATTGTTGGGGCGGATGGTCTTAGTTGCTCTGTGGCATGTCGGCTCTTCCCGGGTCAGGGACTGAACCTGTGTCCCCTGCATTGGCAAGCGAATTCTTAACCACTGGACAACCATGGAAGTCTGTTGTTGAATGGTTTATTTCATGTGCACTTAGAATATGTGTTTGTACCACATCCTTTTTTCTTTTTAAAATCATGATTTTTGTTTCCAGTATGATTATACAGATCTCTAGTAGTACTTTTGAAGTTTCACTGCTCTCCTTGTTTTGGCACTTGTTGAAATGATTAGGTTAAAAATGTCTGTGAAAAAGCTCAAAGCCAAGCATGAACTAATGCTACTTAGATTAGAAAAGAATGGGTCTATGAGATGAAAGTGATGATCACTGATACCGTTTTCTGGTGACAGACAGTTGACCTGCAGAGTCTGTAACATTACTTTTGATTTATGAAAGTTATGAGTTAAAAGTATAAACAAATGAATGTTTATATGTTGCTTGTAATTTTACTGTATTTATCGCATCCTGCTCTGTATTTCAGTTTTTTTTTTTTTTTGCAGATCTTGCATTACATACCTTTTGTTACTAGATCATGTTTTCTTTTTACATCTTTTCATCTTAGTAGTACTTATCTGAGTTATCTTCAAATAATATATGTTTAATGAACATATTGAAAGAATATAGGTATTATAGATAGGTATGTTAGTAAGAAAAATTTAGATGTAGTGTATTTAATTTCAGATTATGTTCAAAATACTCAGAAAATAACATGTAATTTATAAGGAGAAATATAAAGGCCTTCTAAAAATTTATGAAGAGTATTTTCAGACACCTGGGTTAGTTAAAAATTTCTTGCTTCATGAAATGACTTATGTAATGTTTAAATGTTTCATATATAGTTAATAATCATTGGCTATTAGAACTTAAACAGATTTTGTCTTTCAGCTTCTGAATTCAGACCACAGATCCACAGCCATGGTCCAGATCTGCAGCGGCTCTGTTAACCTTAAGGGTGCTGTGAAGTGCAGAGCTTACATTCATAGTCATAAGCCCAAGGTTAAAGATGCTGTGCAGGTACAAAAGGGATAACTGGTATATGTCAGACAGAAGCATGTTAACATGATTATTAAAAAATCCTAAAATTTTATCTTTTCTCAGTCTCAAATTTCATAATTAATTTGATTTTAACTGATAAAAGTCCAATCTATTGGGCAGTCCAACTATATCAAATGATTCATCCCAAGATTTTCATATGTAAGAATGTCTGTTTTTCATATATAGAATATCCTTTATAAAGTGATGATTATACAGGTTTTTTAAGTGTTCCACAGTTAATACTGTACATATCAGTACATTTGAAATCATTTCTTCTAAGAGAAATTGAGCTTTTTAATAGCAAGAAAAGTGCTCCTGGGAAGAATTACTAGGTGGTGTTCTATAATCTATATAATTTAGAAATTAAAAATGATGACTAGCATTTTTGTCATGGTTATACATTTTCTAATTTGAAGTACTAGCATTATTGTTCAGACACAAAATTTCATTCATTTTTATTTCGTTTAAATTTAGTGTATAGATGAAGTTTAGGTAAATTTGCTGTTAAACATGATAAGCATGTTAAATAAATAGACATTAAAAAATGAAATAATGTACTAGTTATTTTAGTGGACACGTTTGTACATGTGTGCATGTTCAGTCGCTTCAGTCATGTCCAACTCTTTGTGACTCCATGGACTATAGCCCGCCAGGCTCCTCTGTCCTTGGGATTCTCTAGTCAATTATGTGGGAGAGGGGTTGATGATAAAATAATGTGAATTTAAAGTAATAGATCTTATTTCTCATTGTGGTTTTCTTTGTTTTTCCATAGGCCATGAAAAGAGATATATTGAATACAGTTGCTGATCGTTGTGAAATACTATTTGAGGATCTGCTTTTGAATGAAATTCCAGAAAAAAAAGTTATGAGTATAAAATTAAGTACTTTTTTTGCATGTGTTCAATCTATATACTAGGATGTCAAGATCACCTTTTTAACTGCATACATCTATTAAAATAATGTCATCATTTACTTTTCTTATATAATGAAAAATTTCAGTTGCCACCTAAAGAAAGTTTTGAACACCTTGTAATAGTAAATCTATCAACATTTAATAATTTCAAGGAGGCTTAAAAAATATATTCTGTGTGAATTTTTGCCAGAATGGATAAACTGTGTTACATTTTAAAGCCATTATTTCTTATGAATACCTATGAAGTTTTTTCAAGAACTTATTCATGATCAAAAAATTAGTGTATTAGTGTTCAGCATTATATATAATAGAGTCTTTAATAGGTATATATGCAGTTGATCATATTCTTTTCAGTTTTTTTTTTTGGTGTGTGTACTAGTTTATATACTTTTCATCTGTGTTACTCTACAGACTTCCCTAGATTTAAAAAAGGCTGGTCATGATGTCTTAACCTTACATAATTCATTTATACTTTTTCAGTAATTTGTATTAGAAATCTTTTATTTTTACTCAAAAAGAAAGTTATATTGAGTATGCTTTTGAAGCTACACATTTATCTGCCTTTCTACGTTCAGATGTGAGTGGATTTGCAGTTCACAGTTGAATATGTACATAGTTGAAACATACATATTAGTTTTTTAAGGGAATGTGTTTATTTTTATAGGAAAAAATGCATAGCTCCTGTGTATAAATAATTTCTTTTAGTTTTAAAAGCCAGTGTATCAGTTTTGGTGGACTGCTTGTAAGGTTTTTTGTATTCCCAGTATGATAATACCTGGAATTTCCAGATTTAACATATATCCTTCATGTACTTCACAAATAACTGAAGTCCCATTCACTAATAAGATATCGTTTTCCTGAGACATGATTTTGAATTTTACATGGAGCTGTTGGGTTGAGAGTTTTGTTTTGGGAAGTATGTAAAGCCTGGTCACTTAGCCACCCAATCAGTCTAGCATTTCTGCGGCTTTGTTTTTGCTGCTTGACTTCATGTGTGTGCTAATTCTCATGATATTAAGCATTATTCTACTTTCTGAGTAACACTGTATGTTACAACTGAACTGTGAATTTTAGGATTTTCAGGGACATGGGGATGTATCCACCATTAATGAGAAAGATCTACTGTGTCATACATGTTAGTTAAATATTCCCTTCCAAAAATAAAAAATAAAAAATAAATAAATATTCCCTTCCATTACAGATGCTTCATAAATAGGGTATCATAATACTGCTCTGGTATTATTTCATAATAAGTGAGTTAGTATTTTGAAATTTTTGCTGATGTCCAATCAGTAAAGTTAACTCTTTCTAATAGCAATTGTTTATAGATTACATTTTAAAAAGAAACCAGGTATAAATGCACATTTTTGAACTGTAGTAACAGGATAATTATTCCAGTAACATGTCAGTATATCTTAGGATATCAAGGTAAAAAATATATTGCAAGTATAATAACACAGCATGTAAATTTTATAGTTGAGTATATGTACACTACATTTTAGATCTTAGGTTTAGTTCTCATTTTACTTAGCTTATCTTTCTTATAATCTGGTAAGATCTTATAGATTTGTAATATGGTAACATCTAGAATATATACTATGAAATTAACCTAAACTGGAGTATTTTTTGCATGCATAAGGAAATCTGCAAAGGGCATATTAACATTACATTTGTAATCTTTAACATAAACATAGTTTTAAAATTCTGGCTATTCAGATGATAGGACTTAATATTTAAATGACAGTTAAAGAAAGGCAAAGGACCCCACTTGGTCCTTTTACTTATTGTGGTCTTCCTCTTCTCTTTCCCTTAAGAAGTGTCCCAGACCGTCTTCATTATTCTCTATCAGCCTACATTCAGTCCTGCCTCCTTACTCAGTAGGTGACACTCTCATGAAAACTGAGGTCGTTGATTATGAAATCTCTTACCTTCTTCCGACCTTCCCTCCACATCTGTCTATACTACCTGTCCTCTCAGAACGTTTGCATTCCTTTTTGCCTGTAGTCATGGTTACACTTTCTTAACTGTACTTCTCTTCCCTTCATGCATTAAGAGTCACCTTAGATATCACCTGTTCTGCAAAATTTCCTGTAATACTCTAGTATGACTTAGGATTCTATACTTAATCAGCAAAAACTCAATTCTTATCATATTGACTTAACTGTAAATGTTTTTATCTGTTTTGAACTTATTTAAATAATTTTGAACTAAATACTCTGCTATGGGAATATGCCTAAAGGATTCTTTTTTTAAGTACTTTTTAAGATGTGCTGTTTTAAAAAGATCTCCCCTCCCATTTTAAACCTCAGATGAGCTAGAAAACTTGGTCTTATTTGGATAATAAATGGTTAATCTATCTTTAATTTGAAAATTGTATTTTTCTTTTTTAATAATTTACATTTATTGCAACCAGTTCTTTAACATTTGATTTATAAGCAAAGATATTTGTCTCTTTTTCAGTCAAACTTAGAATCAATGCAATTTTAAATAGTTTTAAAATTTTGCATGCCAATTAAACATATACATTAGTGCCACCTTTGAAAGTTTTGAACTTAATCTGTTTCAAGAAATTATGCCCACCTCCCCCAAAATAGATACTGTGGCCCAAAATAATAGTCGTAACGTTAATGTGTGAATGATTCATATACTACAGTACAAATTGCAGTAATGTAATTTTACAGCTAGGAGGCAGTCTGGTCACAGAGTAAAATTGGCCCAGTTCTCATATGAAAGCAATATATTAAGCAGAATCTGGCAGGAACACCTAATTTAAGCCGTGTCATTTTCTATGACGCTTAAGGCATTCTTCAGTGTCATCTGTTATAAAGCTAACACTTGTTTCTTAACAATGAAATGTAAGTTACTGTTAAAGTTAGCCCTGGTTTTCTACTTTGACCTATCTATTGGTAGCTTTTTAAGTCACATATCCATTGTTGAAAGTCGTTCTTTACACAAAATCTCTATTTTTGTTGATACTCCATCGGTCATGATGTTGTGCCAAACAATAATTATGTGTTTATGTGAATCAGTAACTATGTTAGAAATTGAGGGAAATGTGATTATTGAAAGAGGAATGAAATGCTCATTATTTACTGACGTCCATATTATTTTGTCTAAAAATGACTTAAAGCTGTTCACAAAAAGGCATTGCAAGTTAACAAGACTAAGTATTAATAATGAGAATGAGGCAAAGGGAAAATGAAAGCAAAATGGAGTTGGTGGTGAGATTAGTACATAAAATGTGTATATCTTGATATCCTCTACATGCCTGATTGGGGACTTCATCATAGATGAAGTCAGTGGTGAGATTAGTATGGAAATGAACGCTATCATGATCTATACATTTAATGTAAGTGAGCCAGTAAACTTGCATGAAGAAGGGAAAAATTGTTGAGAAATTTGAGTATTTATAAGGTTAAAACAAACGAGGAAAACAACAACTTCTGAGACCAGGTACAAAATTGTTTCCTGAGTATTTTTTCACAGAATAGTGAATAACATAAATATGTATAATCAACAACATCCTCAGATTGAAGGCAATGGTGAGTTGATATTTTATGGGAGTATCATTTAGGTCCCTTGTGGAGGTCTTAAATATTGAGTTAAAGAATTCAGTAAGAATTCCGTATGAGATCAGTTAGAAAATGAAAAGACCTTTTAGGTTTTATTTCTTTCGGCATATACTTTCATATACTTAACATTTATCACTGATACCAGTGAAAAACCCATCTAAATATTGTTTCTTCTCCTTTTAGATTCTGAAAAAGAGTTCCACATTCTCCCTCACCGAGTTTTTGTCCCCATTCCGGGATCCACTGTAATGTTATGTGATTATAAATTTGGCGATGAGTCAGCTGAAGAAATGAGAGACCATTTTATAGAGATGTTAGATCGTACGATTCGAATAGAAGATTTGGAAGTTGCAGAGGAGATAAGCACGGGTAATTATTTGAGGTTGTTTAAGAACCAGGTTAGCCTGTGGCTAAGGTTACTTACGGGGCATCTAGCTTAAGTGTCATGCCTTTAGATTTCTTTCAAGCTGGTCCTGTTTGATATTTTTGAGGCATTTAAAAATGTGTCTGTTTAATTTCTACATAGTATGTAAGCATCAGTGCTTTTTTTGAGAATTGTATCAGAATATAAGATACATTAGATGTTTTTGTTCAAGCCTAGCAAGTAGATCTTCATAAAACAAGTTCAGTCTTACATAGGTAGAAATATATAGCTTTAAGCGATTTCTTTTATTCTAAGGTGAGGTTTTCTCAAAATCCATGATCTTAACTAATTATTTGGTTAAGCATCAGGTCACAGATTTTTTTTTTTAATGTCTTCAGACTATTTGCTGTTATTTTCCTATCCCCTTCATATAATTGGGATGCTAAGCTAAAATGGGCAGGTCCAAAATTTAGATCCAGATTATTTTTACAGAGTGTGGATTTGCCATACTGAGTAATTGTGTAACACATTCTCTTTCTCTAACCATCACTTTCACATTTAATCTTGCATTTTAGAAGTCTTTTTTTGTTTGTTTTGCTTTGCTCTGCTTGCTTTGTTTTTGTTTCTAGTGAGAGCAGGTTATGAAAACATATCTATAAATAAATGTATAAGTATATACAGTCTTCCTGAAACATTTTAAAAATATGTGATAAAAGTATTACTTGCAGATATCCATAAATATGTAGTATGTAGCCATTTTTTATCAGCCTTGAAATTTCTGTTATCATAGTAGTTATTCTTCTGTTGCTTAACTAATTCCCACCCCCCACAAGAGTCGAGTGATTGAGTCTTGTTGTTTCTATTGTAAATCAAGTTAAGTGTTTAGCTGATGGATTTCTAATCTGTCAGTAAAGCCTCAGGCTAGTTGGAGATCACTAGACTTGTTTTTTCAACAGCTCCAGGCTCATATTAATCATGTGGAACAGTAAGTTTGTTTTAAAGCAAAACAAAAATAAAAATCTCTAAATTGCTAAGTACCAAATGTTAAAGCTTGCAGGTATGTTTCAGTTCCCTGAAAACTAATATTTTTAAAGGTATAGCTATAGCATATTCTCTAAATGATAGATTTTGAGGCAGATTGGTAGAAGTGTTTGCTACTTTGTGAAATGTTTTTCTAGATGAGGGACTACACTATTTCTGCAACCAGTCGTAAAGACTCCAGAGATTTTTGTTTGCCTTTGTTCTTGATCACCTCTGATGTTGATAACTTGAGTAAGTTAGAGTTGGCCTGATTCATCCTCTTTCTTATAATACTGAAATCTATAGGTATTTAGACTCTTTTCGTCCTCATTTTGAATTCTAGTCTGCTTTCTTGATATTTCTACTTTGTTCAGTAATCTGGAGCGATTAAATATGAGCACAATTGACCCTTGGACAGTGCAGAAGGTAGGGGCACTGACTTCCATGTAATCAAAAATCCATGTATGATTTTGCAGTTGGCTCTACATATCTGCACTTCTGAGTTCACAGATTCAACCAACCATGGATTGCCTAGTACTGTAGTATGTATTTATTGAAAAGAATCTGCCTATAAGTGGACCTGTGCATTTCAAACCCATGTTGTTCAAATAGCAGCTATGCTGCTTCTTTATTGAGGTCTTGCTTTAAGTTTAAACTGAGGGCAGTTGTCATGTTCTAAATATTTCAAAGCCAAATACTCCCAAGTGTCTTTAACTGTTCTTACTATTACAGTTTCTAGACCTCATTTTTTTTTTACCACTTTGTTTACGTTCCTCTAGATTAGAAATTTTTAACCTGGGGTGTCCAAAACTTTTGGGTCATAACTGGCTCTCAGGAGATCCATAAACCACTTGAACATACCTGTATAATTTTTTGGATTCTTTACCACTGAGCCACCAGGGAAGCCTTAATTTCTCACTTGTTGGTTAGAAGCTATTATCTGTTATCATGTATAGTTTTCATATTCTTTTGAATTATTTGTCACACTTTTGGTGAGTAGCACATTGCTGAATTAAGAATGACTAAAGGGAGCACTATATGCGAAAGTTGATCCATTCACTACTTACTTTGAAAATCAGAATAGGCAGAGAGAAATTTCATTTAGGTTTTTTTAAGACTACCATCTGTCTGAAATAGTTTTATTTTAATTTCATGTTCTATTTGAAACGTAAGCATTTATAGGCTAGTTTGTATTTTATTTAATACTTTTTAAGTTACATTTAAAAAATAATTATAGTTTATTAATCTCAATAACAGAGTTCATATCCATTCTTTATATTGTTAAAACAAATTAAAGTAAAAATCCAAGTAGCTTTCACCATTGTAATACATTCTTAAGGAGGCAGACATGGCAGCCTGGTGTAACAAAGCTTTCCCCAAATAAAACTAAAAAGCAATAATTTAAAACCCTAATGAAATAATTTTATATTGCATTTCAGCACTTACTGATTTTTCCATAAGATTCTCAAGGAGAGGGACTTTTCATTTCTTGCTCTCTGCTTTCATTTTTAGCACTTTACTGAAAATCTAGCCTTAACACAACATAGGTCCTCAGTAAATATTTGTTGACTGAACAGATTGTTGATTTTGTCAGTCCTGCAGTCTGGGGTCCAAAGATCAATAAGGTACTGATCCTGTCTTCAAGGAGCTAAATAGCAGTTTTTTACCCTGTGTAGATATTTTCATGTGCTCATATAAAAGCTCAGACTGCCTAGATTCCTCCATTATGTTTAATTATAGTTTTTTGCTCCTTTTTGCATTATTTTCCATTCTTATAATTATTGACGAGTATCAGTTGCATGTTTAATGATATTAGTCTTTCACATAAGACTGTAGGATTCTTGAGAGTAAGTGTTTCTCTGAGTTCCATGCCTAAAGCATGATAGGTATTCATAAATATCCGTTACTAACTGAATGACATAGACTGAATAGGTCAATTTTGAAAATTATAGCACACCTTTTTTCATACTTTATGCTTAAAAAATTGTAAGCATATGCTTAGCTAGATAGAAGGTTTTTAAAGTTTGTTTAGTGTGCTGCACTGAACATGATGATGATTTTAAAAGGATATAATAGTCATAGCTTTAAGGCTCAATAGTTTAGAATGTTTTAAGGGATGTAGAACATTAAAACATGACAGCATGTAACACTTAATTGTTGCCCTATAGATGTTAATTTTAGTTTATAGCATTTAGTTTGTCTATTTATTAGATATTTATTAAGCATTTGCTCTGTTCAAGGCAGTGTTATAGGTGACAAATCAAAAGTCACATTCCTTCCCTCAACAAGCCTATAATCTCACTTGGAAATAGACTTGTATGCTTTATTAATTATGCAGGGCATGTAGTAAGATCCTAAGAGTCACTAAGAACTCTAGAACATCAAGATTACTGACAGGACCTTATGGTCTCCAGTGCTTTGGTTGTAATAATTCAGTCAGAAAAAATACTTTGATGACAGGTGAGCAGTAACCTGTAATCTATGGTGACAAAGGTTTGACATTAGTGTTTTCAAGTTTTAGTACATTCTTTTGTTTTTTTCATTCTTTATTATTATTATTTTTATGTTTTGCTTTAACTAGTGCTTAGTTCTATAATAAGAGAATGAACAGGGAATTATCAGAACATTTAGCACAGCAACTATCCCTGTAAGTGATTCAGAGAAAGCTTCAGAGCAGGTGATTCTTAAGTTAATTTTGAAGGATGAATATATTAAAAGTAACTGTAAGCTTTTTAGGAATTAAACACTTGGATCAGATGTATTGTGACCAAAAATAAGACTTGTGTATTATTTTTGCTTTATCAGGTATTTGTTGAATTAGAAGGAAATAGTTATTTAGTTATTTAGAAGCAAAATACATTCCAAATTATGGAATAGGGTAAAAACATAAACATTTTAATAGAAAAATTAAGTGCTTTTACATAAACATTCTGTTAGTTTAGAATTATCTTCACTATTGCATTTACTCATTCATTCATTTATTTATTCAAAAATATTGGATGTGTAATTTTAACAGTTGCACATCTGAGTCCAGGTCCGCCAGTTACAGCTTCAGTTCAGTTCAGTTACTCAGTCATGTCTGACTCTCTGCAACCCCATGGACTGCGGCAAGCCAGGCTTCCCTGTCCATCACCAGCTCCTGGAGTTTGCTAAAATTCATGTCCATCGAGTAGGTGATGCCATACAGCCATCTCATCCTCTGTTGTCCCCTTCTCTTCCTGCCTTCAATCTTTCCCAGGTTGAGGGTCTTTTCTAAGGAGTCAGTTCCTCACATCAGGTGGCCAAAGTATTGAAGTTTCAGCTTCAGCTTCAGTCCTTTCAATGAATATTCAGAACTGATTTCCTTTAGGATGGACTGGTTGGATCTCCTTGCAGTCCAACGGACTCTCAAGAGTCTTCTCCAACACCACAGTTCAAAAGCATCAATTTTTCAGCACTCAGCTTTCTCTATAGTCCAACTCTCACATCCATACATGACCACTGGAAAAACCATAGCCTTGACTAGATGGACCTTTGTTGACAAAGTAATGTCTCTGCTTTTTAATATGCTGTCTAGGTTGGTCATAGCTTTTCTTCCAAGGAGTAAGTGTCTTTTAATTTCATGGCTGCAGTCACCATCTGCAGTGATTTTGGAACCCCCCCAAAATAAAGTCTGTCACTGTTTTCATTGTTTCCCCGTCTATTTTCCATGAAGTGATGGGACCAGGTGCCGCGATCTTCATTTTTCGAATGTTGAGTTTTAAGCCAACTTTTTCACTCTCCTCTTCCACTTTCATCAAGAGGCTCTTTAGTTCTTCACTTTCTGCCATAAGGGTGGTGTCTTCTGTGTATCTGAGGTTATTGATATTTTCCCGGCAATCTTGAAGCACACTTACAGCTGTCCCCTTTGAACCCCAGATTCTCTTGGGGTTGGTATTACAATTTACTAAAAATGTTAGGGAAAATATATTCTGAACAGAAAGAGATATATAAATGTAAGGTGATA